GCACCCTAACAATGACATTTTTGTGTTTGTGTTGCATGGGGCTGGCTTGGTCCCATCGGCTTTTGGGGAACCCCTGTGGTGGCTCCCTGGGGAGCTGATGGTTCATTTGCTGCCTTGAGGTTCAGGGGGTCTCCCCTTGGCCACTAGGAATGGACAGGTTTGTAGAGAGTATACCCCAGATGAGAGCTTTGCATTAATTAACTAATATGCCGTTGGCTTTGCATCCTACCTCTTTCTGTGGCCAGGCACTGCAGCCCAGCAGAGAGGAAGCTGGCCTTGGATTCAAGCCCACCTGGGTTCCAGTCCCATTTCTGTCACACATTGGCTGTGTGATCCTGGCTAAGTACCTTTGTGTCTCAGTGCCCCCGCCAACTCCCAAGACCGTAAGCTGTACAGGACTTGGGGATCAGAACCGATGCCAGTAGAGTCACGTAGCTCGGATCTGCTCTCATCTCCTCTTTCTGAAAGACTGAGAAGCTCTCAGAGATTAAAACATACAGAAAGATGGGACACTTGATGAGAGTAATCACAAGAGTGACAGCAGGCTAGTAGAGATGATCCAGGAGTTTTCTCCCCCGCCCTTGAGGTGGAGACTGACTAAGGATGATTATTTCCATTTTCTAGAAGGGGAATTGGCCACGGAGCAGGTGACTTGAGGGAGGTTGCACAGCCAAACCAAAGCAAAGGTCCTACACCAAGATGGCGCTGCTCCCGGGCAGGATTGGCTATCTACAGCAAAGGATTCCTCCCTCCTACATGGCCCTCACCCTTGGAATGTGGGCAGAGCTCCCCTTTTCTGATCTCTCCCTTCATCTTGGCTCATGGGTGTGACCTTGGTCTATACCTCCATTCTGCACCAGCTCTCAAAGGTCCAAGGGATGGTGGGGGTGGAGGGGAGTAGGCCTGCCTTGGACGGGAGCATCCAATCTGCCTAGTCATGATTCTTGTGTGTCTAGAGTAATGGTCCTGAGTCACTCTCTATGTTTGAATCCTGCCTCATACACTTACTAGCTATGTGATCCTGGTCAAGTCACTTACATTTCACAGCCTCAGTTTACTCATCTCTAAAGTGGGAACCTCCAAGGCATTGAGGCCATCTCATCATTATTTCTGTTGTTTGTTGTGTCCTACTCTTTGTAATCCGCTTTGGAGTTTTCTTGGCACAGACATTAGAGCGGTTTGCCATTTCCTCCTTCAGTTCGTTTTATAGATAAGGACCTGAAGCAAACAGTTGAGTGATTTGTCCAGGGTCACACAGCTAGTAAGTGTCTGAGGCAAGATTTGAACTCAGGTCTTCCTGACTCCAGGCCCAGCACTCTGTTCACTGAGCCACCTTGCTGCCCCAGCTTGTCATCATAAACAAAGATCCACTTGAGAACTTGTGACAAGCAATGCTCTGGTCGCTGGTTAATGATACTGCTGGTGGAGGAGATCACCACCTGCTAAGAAGCCTTATGTTGATAACCAGCTTTGATGGGTAGGAAGTTTTTCCTTACATCAAGCTAAAAGTTGCCTTTCTGAATGTCTTCTCTGTGCTCTTAGCTCAGCCACCTGGGACAAAAAAGAACAAGTCTCATCTTTTTTCCACATGATAACTAGATGACATCACAGTGGATAGAGTGCAGGGCCTGGAGTGAGGAAGACATCCTCCTGAGTTCAAATCCAGCCTCAGATACTTTAC